ATAATAATTTATAAATAATAAAAATAAGACTTTAATATCATAAGATTAAAATAGTACATTTCGACACTAAGTCTTTATCAGCTAATAAAATAAGTGATTAATTAATAAGATTAATTAATAAGATAATTACTAATTAAGCGTCATAAAAAAGATATTAATCGCAAGATTAAATCGTATAAATAAAGAGGATCTTCTAAAAAGTCATTTAAAAAATCACGCACACAAATTTAAGCAAATTAAAAATCAGAAATAATAAATTATAAAATTTCGAAATAAAATAATCGAAGATGAAAAGCTGAGGTTTGTTTACGCAGTTAAAAAGTTAAAATTATTCGTTGTGCGAGAAATGTTAAATTAAGTCATGTGGTAAATGTTAATATTAATTGCCTATATGTTACATTCGTCTACGAGGAGTCCCAATTATGTATCTCAACTTTCAATAATGACTGATAGTCATTGACACCAGTTCTCATCTCTCGAAAATAACTGTTATAATAGATAAAAACACACCAATATCAGAATAATGACCATATAGAAATCAAATTAATATCAAATGTGATCAATAGAAAATAAAAGTTTCTATATATAAACATGTGAGTCAAAGGAAAAATGAATTATATGTGTGTTTTTTAAACCAGAAACGGTTACTTTTTAATTCAAATCCTTTACATAGAACCAATTAAGTAATTGGCGTTGATGAAATAGACTGTAAACGTATTGATTCAGCGCAATAAAGCGAGGAAAGATGTTAAGGTAACAAACTATGTTTGTATATATTATTTAGCATTGTTGATAAAACGTTGCGGTTAATACTCAGACAAAAAGTGTCAAAATCGGGTTAAAAAATAAGATTTTTTGCTATCTAAAAGACGACTTAAAGACGTCTTATGTTACGATTTTAGACTTTGTATTATTTGGATACTTCTTTCATGATGCTTAATTATACCATTTTATTAATTGAGCATTTATTTTATTAACTGATGAAGACTCGGTGTAATCGAAACGTACTATTTTTATCTTTTGATATATTAAATCATTATTTATTAATTTTAATCTATATGTACATATGTATGTATGTATGTATGTATGTATGTATGTATGTATGTATGTATGTATGTATGTATGTATGTATGTATGTATGTATGTATGTATGTATGTATGTATGTATGTATGTATGTATGTATGTATGTATGTATGTATGTATGTATGTATGTATGTATGTATGTATGTATGTATGTATGTATGTATGTATGTATGTATGTATGTATGTATGTATGTATGTATGTATGTATGTATGTATGTATGTATGTATGTATGTATGTATGTATGTATGTATGTATGTATGTATGTATGTATGTATGTATGTATGTATATATATGACTATTTTTTTATTCCAATAATTGTATGGTACACGCGCGGAATTATTATGAATTTATACCCTAATAAGCTAAATCCAAGGCATTAAACTCTGCATCGAACGATAATGCAATCTTGCAGGTGAAGAAAGATCGCACCTGTAAGATCGCGAGGCTGCTCGTTCGCGTGAGAACTCGATTATTATCTGCCAATTGCGTGTCGAAGAGGTGGAGTGACTGGTTGGGTAGGCGTACACCATGAGGCACCGAAACCAGCCAATGGAACTTCATGCTTTGCATTATGTATTCTTTATGTTGCCAAGTCACTATCTATATCTGTACTCCGCCCTTATGCGTGCGCGTATATATGTCTCGTACATACTTTGTATGATGATGTGAAAGATACCTTTAAGAGTTCCTCGAGATGACCATTCTTGTCTTACATACATATATACATATATTCTATATGCAATCTCTTTTCAAATAGTAGTACAATTTGACTTTCCAGCTGATAATCAAGTACTTATTAATATAATAATAATAATTTAAGTACTTGATAACAGTCTTTAAGTACGAATGCTTTGAAGGAAGCTCATCAAAGATTATAATTAACATTCTGAATGAAATTAAATCATCGTTAAAAAAGTATAGCGTAAATATAACTGATTGCAGAACTCCTTAATTTGTCGTCTTCGCTTTGGAAAATTTTCATTTTATTGATGGCGAACGATTTATAGAGACATAAATTTGTTGTCACTCTATATAGCATCGTAGTTCATTTCGCTGCGCCGAGTTGCATATCTTAATGTATAGCGAAGCGAAAGATGAAAGGCACTTCGCTTATCTAAACAAAAGCCTGTGCCGAAGTGTTTATCACGGATGAGTTGCTTAGCTTGCTATCTGACTGGCTGTCTGTTTGTCAATCATCAGAGAAAACGAAATGCAGCGAAACAAGAGAAATGCCGTTGTTTAGTGCTTATCCGCAGGTCTTTTCCGTCCATCTAATGGCTTGGTTTACATCGTTGGAGAAAACGAGAGAGAGAGAGAGAGAGAGAGAGAGAGAGAGAGAGAGAGAGAGAGACAGAGAGAGAGAGAAGAAAAAGCCTAATGGCTACACAAGAGAAGTTTATCGAGACAAAAGCTTTTTGTCCGAACCTACCTACCTGCATCAAAGAACATATAAGATGCTTTTGAAAATAATGTTTTTAATCATCTTTTTTTCGTAGTAGTTGAATTTATTATTTCTTGAAAAAATTTACTATTATGAGTTTTAATACTTATTTTTTTATGATACTGTTATCCTATTAAAAAAAATATCATTTTTCTAAGATTTTTTTCAATTTTTTTTAATAGCTGGATTGGTTTCATAATAATATTATTTATTGCTCATATAGAATGTTAATTATTAAATGTCACATAACATTAAAAATTTTTTTTATTAAAATCTTATTGATCTAATGAATAAATAATCTTTAATTAATATATTTTATTTTTTTAATTTTCAACATGAGTAAATGAAGATATTAATTAACCAAGATATTAATTAACATACTCTACAGCGCTGAGAACAATTTAAGACGTTATGAATAATAATTTTTTGAAATAATATTTTACTTTTATTTAAAAAAAACTAAATATATAAAGCTCACTTGTCAAAATTATGTAAATATAACACAAAGGTATATGAAAAAAGCCGGATTACAGTTGCTAAAACATAATCATATTTCAAATGAAATAAAATAAAATAGACGTTTCGATCAAATTAGGTCATTATCAATGTTGTTACTTGTTCCGGTACATATAAAAATAGTTCCATGCTAATGGTTATACATTTGCAAATTGAACGCTTTATATTCTAACTATAATTATATATGATTAAATTAGTTACATAAAATAAAGTGACAAAACGCAATTTAATGTAACCTGCATGTTCCCTCTATTCTTATAAATGTCAATCGGTATGTAGTAGAATAAGTACGTAATTGAAAGAGCGGCCGAATACACAAGCGACGGAACAACACATTGATAATGACCTAATTGTTTCGTCGAAACGTCTATCTTATTTTATTTTATTTGAAATATGATTATGTTTTAGTAACTGTCTTAGTAATTCGGCTTTTACTTATATACCCTTGTGTTACATTTACATTGTTTTTATTTTAAATTTTGTAGTTTTTCACTGTAAAGTCACTCACAAAAAAGTAAATATTAAAACTTGATCACTTCTATGCACGTTTATTTGTGCACATTGTTTGATAAATTGTTGCGAATATAGTTCGATAAAACTATTGGTAACCTACACGACAAGTTTTTTGGAGAGACCGTATTGTCTAATACTACGCAATGGCCAATTAAAATACATTACTGTTCTAACGAGCCGAATGAGATGCATAAGTTACGCATGCTCAATTGATAATGATGTTTCATGTCTGTGTCTGTGTGTGAACATTCACAAGCAGCAATTCTCGGCTCTTTTTTCCTCTCTTTTTCTCATTTATTTAACAATTTTAGGAAAAACGTGCATGTACAGAATATTCGTGTATTCTTCAGGACAATTTAAATTTCTGACATAATTAACATATGTGAAAAGGATAGGTTAAATTATCTTTTCATAAAGAGTGTTCCTCCGAAAATAGATAAGAAAATAGATTAGTAAAATGTTAATAGAACTCTGTGCATGAAAGATAAAAAGCACATTAATAAATATTCTAAAATATTATAGATTTTATAATAAATATAATTATCTTTTAAAGTTAATAATGCGTAATGCAAAATTAATGCAATAATAATTTTAGTAATCTTCAAATACTAAATTATGATACGAAAGATGAGATATGTTAAAAGTTTATTTAAATAAATAAATTTTGTTTGTGTAGAAATAGATAATGAATTTTATAACGTCGATCTTTTTAAACAATTGATAATGCCATCTAAAATTTGTAAAAGATACAAATATACTAATTATATTTTCAACTCATTCTAATTATTCATACGATATTTTTTTCATGTGTATTGACAAAACATAAATTACTCCAACTTATATATACTTTTCTTCTATAATTTTCTTTCAAATTTATTTTTTATACTTTTATAAAAATGTTTATAAGATTTCTACGTATTTCTATCTTTGGCACCAGACTTTATTAATTTTTAAAAAGGTCCATTCCCGCGCGCGTTGTCATAAAAATAAGATCGCTGTTTGTCAGGACATCTGACATAACGATAAATCTTGATTTGATATACGTACATTAATTGTCTGAAGGGATATTCCGCCAGAAGCATTGAAAAAAGAGAAATCCTCGCGATAAATCTAATCAAGCAACATCGATCAGAACCTTACGTCGTTGGCTCCAAAATTGTTGGAGTCGAAACAGAGTGCTCCGACAAACGTGTTCAAGGATGCCGTCGACGATTGCCTCTTGACGACAGCATTATCCCGGGGATACGTAACGCGCGCGTATATCTACTACGTGCGTAAATATATCGTATTGGAATCCACACATTTACTCATTATTTTTTTTTCGTTCGAATTCACTTTCCTCGCATCTTCCAGGATCACGGAAACATCGTGCTGTGTGTTCAATCACCACCCTATGTTACGCGTGCGTTACGTTTTGTGCACCGCCCGGCACACAACACACAGACACACACACACACACACACACACACACACACACACACACACACACACACACACACACACACACACACGCAGTAAAGACACCGTCGAATACGCGATACGTCGTCGAAACAATGAAATCCACGTCGTTTCGGTCGGAGAAAACCTCGTCCGAATCGCGGACGAATCTTTCGCAGGATCAGCGCTCCGCCCGTTCGCGCAAGGGATGCAGATTGCAGAGTCAGATGTTCTGCACCCGGACAAAATCACCGCCACGCTCGCGAGATTGCGAGAGAGACTCGCTCGCGCGCCTTCAATTTTCCCGGTACGACTTTTTTTTTCTACTGGGAAATGCTTTCTCGGCGAAGATCACTCACGATGGACTCGCTATAATACCATCGTTTCCCGGCGCGTTGCATTGAGATGTATCGGCGGGTCCTCGCGCCGTGTGTGTGTGCGATACGTTGCAGGCGGCCTGTGCTGAGCAGTTCTGAGCATGCGAAATGTCGCCTGCCACCCCCGCCCGGTGATCACGTGGTCACCCGTTCATTCGACTCCTCTTCGTCGCACCTTTCCACTAGCCTTCTTTCTTTCTCTCATTCTTGTCTTCTTTGTCTCGTCCAATCTCTCTTTGTTCCACGCTCTTACTTGCAATGTTCCATCATCCTTTAACCTCTGACTTTCTCTATTATCCTTATCATTCTCTCTTTCCGTTTTCTTTTTTCTTTTTCAAAATATTTATATACATATTGCTACATGCATGAATTATGCGTGTACTAATAAAATAATTCCTCCTCCAGGATGAAAATTATATTTCCTTCTCTTAAGCATTTATCAATCATTTTGTTTTGTGTTTCCCTTCTTTTTTTATTATTTATCTATTATTTATTTTTAAAAATTATTTGTACGCAATAGTAATAAATAATACATATTTATTTGTGTAAGCTCGCAATAAATCGCAATTCTCTCTTGCGCTTTCCTTTTTTCCTTTTTTATCTCGTTCATTTTTCATCTCGTTTTCACAGCGCGGCGGGCGTATACAGGTCGTTCGTTAATTAGAGCGAGAGGATATAACGAGTCATGCGTGGGTGATGGCGCGAGAGATAAGGAAAGAGAATGAGACAACGATGAGGACGCGTGAGAAGGATAGAGGCAAAAAGAGATGAGACAGAGAGAGAGAGAGAGAGAGAGAGAGAGAGAGAGAGAGAGAAATTCTGATTGTGATTGAATTAACGTGAGTGGAGGAAGAGAGATATCTACCCCCTATATTCGAATAATTGTCACCTCTTGTCACCGTTCATTTATATTTACAAATCGTTCGACAATAAATGCTTCTCTCTGATGGGACAAGTTTTCAAAGAAGACATCGATTAAAAGAATCTATGGGCGATCTTGATAAAAATCATAGGACATGTTTTAGGATCCCATGAATTAGTAAAAAGAATAAAAAAAAGCATCGCTCGCGAGTTTTTATATTTTAATCGTTGCAATACAGTTTACATATAAAATATCGTTCGTTTTGATATTAAATTGAACTATCATTAAATTGAACTAATTATATAGATCTTATTCCCATATACTTAGCATTAAATAAAAAGAGAAAGGCGCGAATATATAACAGTTTAATGATATTTTTTTAACTTTTCTTGTGTGAGATAATTTTTGAATTAATAATTGATCTCTTGTTTTAAGAGTGAGAAAGAAAGAAAGCAAGAAAGAAAGAGAAAATTGCGACAATCCCACCTTTTTTTACAAGGAGAGAGAATTCTTGACGGGAGGTCCACGGTCCTCACCACCGGCAGTACGTCATACTACAGTGGGTTCCTGGAAGGCGAGAATGCCCCTGCGTCCTTTTTTCTCGCTTTATCGATTACGGCGCGATAAAGGCGTTGCGAGATGTCTGCTTCCTCTGTCACTCTCTGCGTGACAAAACAAATTAGGACCTTTACCATGAGTAAAATTATAAAAGGCAAAGAACGGTCATTTACTACTAGAATATTACTAGAATATAGTTTTCTGCAACCTTTAAAATTAAACTCGTGCGTTTCGCAGATTGAGAAGAGAACTGACAGAAACTAATCTTCAATTATGAATTAGTTTAAAATTATTTGAAATTCTCTTTTTTTCTATTTTTTCTCTTGTTAATATTACATTTTTATATTTCTTACAAAGTTTCTTTAAGTATACTACATATATTATTTATCTATATATATTTTTTATTCTTATTCAATATGAATATTAAAGAAAAATTGATTATTTTATTGAAAGAATTAAAATATGAAAAGAGATAAGGGAAGTTTAAGAAAGAATTTTTTTAAATCAACATTTTTTAATTAAAGATTAAAAACTTGAAATTTTGTAGCAAATGTATTTTTATTAATTTTTTAATTATTTGTTTCATATAAGACGCTATATCTTTTATCGGAATAAACTTCACGCTATAGACTTTTATACTTGAAACTTCTTTGCGGCTAATGTAACTGTAACAGCGAGAGTGAGTCTGCATTTTTCAAGAACGATGACGAAAATGAAGAACAACATGGACGGTAATATAATTTTCTACATCCTGTACCAACATCCATTGTGCGTTTTCCACCAGCTTGATGGACTCTCAAATTTCGTTAAAAGTCTTACTAACGTTACCATAAAAGCATCTTAAGAAACCTACTCGTTTAAGCGTTTCACTCACGAACGTTTTGTAATTGTTTCAGAGTTCATTTCATAGAGAATAGAAAGAGAGAGAGAGAGAGAGAGAGAGAGAGAGAGAGAGAGAGAGAGAGAGAGAGAGAGAG